GCGTAGCACTCTCCTATCTTTCGATGCTACAGCTCGTCCAATCACATCGTTGACACCTCTGATAGAGCCAGCTCCTGCTGATGCTCCCTTATGGCGGCCTCGTAATCACCTGAGATAGAAAAGGACCGCACAGGACAAACAGGCTAAACATATCTCAAAGAAATAAATTAGTAAGACAAAACGTTAGTACAAGGGGAGGGGGAGATCAACAGTACTATGGTTTTGCAACTAAAAGTAGGAATTAAAGTGAATTAAATAGAGTTGGTGTGGGTTGGAGAAAGTTAATAAAAAAGTTAAGAGGATTAAATTACATCAAGAGCTTCTCCGTGTAACACATGAATGATCAGGAAGACTATATAGAGGGGGTCCATCCAAAATGAGTTAGAAAAGAAACACAAATGTTATCTAACTCGTAACTGTTGGGCTTCAGATTTGTGCAGATGCCGATTAAAAGAGCTATTTATATCTCACCAGTATTGCCCTTTGCTTAGGAGATGATGATTGAGTAAATTCACTGTAATGCTTGTAAAAACACGTCCATGTTCATCTTCTTCGCTTGTACTTCTTCACAATCTGCACATATCATTTCAGTTGTTCCACAGAGCAGGACAAAAAACCTTTGGCGACGCTGCTTTCAGACTGTTACGCTCCGAGACTGTGGAACGACCTTCCTGAGGGTCTGAGAGGAGCCCAGAATATCGAGATTTTTAAACGCAGTCTTAAAACTAATTTATTCAGTCTGGCTTTTATATAGTGTTTTATATCAATTCAAATCTTAACATTACTGTATTCTCTTTTTATCCTACTACAATTTTAAATATTTTCCTCTTATGTATTCATTTTAACATCTTGTTGCTTTCATGTGTCGTATTTTATTTTTATACATATATTTTATTTTTAATTCTTATTGGTGTGCATTGGTCTCTCAATGATTTTATAAACTACTTTATGTCAATAACTTTTCTGCACTCTTGTTAAGCACTTTGAACTGCAATTTAATTTGTCTGAAAGGTGCTATATAAATAAAGTTTGATTGATTGATTGATCCATTCTCTCTAAAAACGTATGATCTGTCATTATTTATGTCAGTGCCACATCCGTTTCTATGTATTGTGAATGATTAAATAGTTCTGCAGCTTCCTATCACAAAAAAAATGTATTTATTAAAAACAAATCCAGTCAAATTAAGGACTATTTAGTACAGACAAACCTTAATGCTGGTCATCTTCTAAAACACTTACCATTTCTGGACAGCAGCTCCCCAAGATGATTGCAGATATTGGCTTCCTCTCTCAAGTTGTTGCTGTTCTGCGCTTTGCTCTTTGCTTTCTGTAGCTCTGCGCGATAATCACACAATATACTTTTCCACATCAACAATGTCAACGATCTAAATGAGAGGGATTAAGAAAGCCTTCCTACTTCACATAAGCATTAGTAAATCAACACTTACGTTTAATCTCCCGTGCAGAGCTCATCATTATCCAGTTGCCTCTGAGCGGTGCTAACTAGCTAGCTCACAGCTGATGGTAAATATGTAAACAGGCAGCGCGCTTCACTTTAGCTTAGCTGAAGCAAAGCCGACAAAACATAGATCGACCCAAAACAAGATCACAATTTCACACCATTTTCGCTTATTTACGTCTATTCTTCTGCTCTCGCTGTCATTTAAGTATCCGATCGTGTGTCAAACAGCTCTTCATACTCAACAACAACTCAGTAAACATCAGTAAACTTCAGCTAACAGTGCACAGTAAACTTCACAAAGCCCCGCCACCGCTGCGCTAACCAATCACCTCACTGAAGAAAAATGAAGTAAATTATGCCCTGATGTTGTTCTTACAGGCAAACAGTTCGCCCCATTCACGAGGATTAAAAGGTCGTGTTTCCAACACAGCTCTAAATCCACATCATCTGTTATAACACAGAACTCGAACATCGCGCATTTCATTCGTTTTGGTTTATGTACATTTAACGGAAACAACAAACTGGTGCATATCTGCCTGCGAGATTAAATGCTGGGCACAAGAACGAAGTATTACCAAAAAAAAAAAAAAAAGAGGCAATTCATTGGCTATCCGCACCCTGTGACGTAGTTCCACGTAGAAACAAGTGGATACGCTTATTTCGGTTACATTTAGACAACTTGTGTGTCTTGTGCAGTTAAATCCCGAACAAAAGCTTAAATACAAGCTATGAGCATGTTAAAGTGTGAATGAAAAGACAGCACAAACAGAATTAACAAGAAGTGGTTTGTTCCGGTTGCCAAGTGTGACGTTGTAGGCAACATGTAGGCCACATGATTACTGTAAATATTAAGGAGCCAAATCAATTCAGTCAGGTGGAAATTAAGAAGAGGTAAGATTACCTATTATGTCTAAAAACAGACAATTATGTCTAAACCTCTTTGTCATAGTGGATGTAAAGTTTAGGAAAATTGCCTTAGAAATTGAATTTATTAGATTATTTTTGTGGGTTTTTTAAAAGTCTTTGTAAACAAATGTCCTCCAGGCTAATAGGTTTATATGGCTTTCGTTTATAAACTGAAACAATAAAGAACACCTCAGAATATTTGAATCATTTGAAACATGTTAAATACAAAAATGCAACAGTGAGGCATTCAGTCGATTCAAAAAGATCCAATCTGATAGGTTGTCATGGTCAATGTTTATTCCTTACTTAAGCTCATCACAGATGTTCTTGTTGTGTTTCATTGTGTATGTTGTCCTAAAAAGCATTAAAACAATTATGGTTCTGTAGAAAATGCCAAAGACTGTTTTAAAAACAGAGCCATTATCGGCCTCCAGGTAACACTGAATAATTCATTTTTAATTTTGCCCCTAGCAAAGGCATACCTGTTAGTTATAAATGATAGCATTAAAACGTTCCCCGGAGAGTTTGTATTTATGTTGTTTGCTATTGTCTAACAATAAGGTTTTACCTGCCAAGTGGTGACAGCTTGCTTTATTTTTCCACATCATATTAAGATATGATGCCGGATGTGGGCTCGCTGTGGCCCCAAGTTACAGAAATACTACAGATTTCTCCTTTTAAAATCAAAGAGGACAGAGCGTCTTTCACTTTGAGTAATCTTCTCACAATTCTCAACAATTTGACTTGACCTTGATTAATACAGTCTTGAGGTTTAAGACAAATGCAAAAGGAGGATTCAGAGATACCCTGACTCCACTTACACAAGTTACCTTAATTGTGTGCCAGTGGATGTTTCCACTCTTGAACTACAAAGTTCCCAAGAAGGACTACTCATAGCTCATTTTAGATACATTGCCCCTTGTTTCTAACTGTGAGGTTTCTTTTTAGGACTTCATAACCAAGGTTGTAATTTTAATTACGATATAAGCTACAAAGCCCCAAGAATAGCTGCTCACGCTTACCTTGATGTCTACTTGTGTTTATCCACACACATTAATGATTGCACATTTCAGTTAACAACAAAATGGTCCATCACTTGAAATATATTTTAAATACTGTAAGGAATGTCGTACTGCCCTGGAACAACAATAGGTAAAGAACTGTCCAGGGCAGCCTTCGGAGCTCTTTTCCTTTCCATTAACAGAATTCAACGAGCTCTTTTCATGGCTGCCACTTAAATACTTCTGGGTCATTTCACTCAGCTAGACTCCATTAACAAAAAAACAGCCACTTGACTGCAGCCCTGGTGGATCAGACCATGTCAAAGATGATTTCATCTAAAGACCCCCAAAACTACAATTAGGCGTGCAGGAGGACATATTCTGAAATTGTGCTTTTATAATCTTTGACTAAACTCTAGTGTGGATTTTTTTTTATTTTGAAAGAATAACTATACGTTAAATGTATAATCCATTTAGTGTGATAGTTTCTTGTCTTTGTTAGGTGGTGTAGATGTCATCGTTCATCAAGACTACCTTATATCAGGATCCACAAGTCTGAACCCCAAATGAGGCCTCACATTACTCACACCCATTTTCAGATTGACATTCATGGAGCTAACCCAAATTTGTGATCTTATAATCCAACTGTTCAGTCTGCAAAAAAAAAGGAAAGGGTGACACATGGGCATGGATGATGATGACGTCAGCAGCGCAGGCAAGCTTTCTGATTGGCTTGTTCCGATGGACATCACGCCTTTACAGACAAATTATGGTTTAGCCTCTGGTGCGTTGCTAAATACAGACACATGTGAAATAAACATTACTGACATTATTACCCCCGAGTGTTAGGATACAAGTGTGATGACTAGACTATTGTTGTCTGCTGTCTGTTTGGACAAAATTAATGGATGTATTTTTATCTTTAATATGACAAAAAAGAGGACCCAATGCATAGCTACAAAAATGTAATTTTAACAAAATGTCTCTATGCGCTTAATGTATAAGTTCAATGGTATTGATTTAGAGGTATTTGTCTTAAATGTCTTCTTATTTAATTCCCTCTAGATTTGCAGAAATTTCAACTTGTGAAATAATTTTTATAGTGCATACAAAAATAAATCCTAGTCCTTTAACAGCAAAGGAAAAAAAAATCAGCAGACAATGAGAAAATGGGTTTACAGTAAGCCAGAGTGAAATCCTGCATACACAAGGAAGAGACAACGCAGATCTGTCATTTTTGTGCAGCATGAAACCATTGCTGACATGCCTGATATGAGCCTGAAGCATCAGGAGGAGCTTCATTTCACATCAGACAGGCACAGAGTTTCCCCCGGATCCTCTGTGAGTCTGTCTCTCTAAACCGTTGACCTTACAAATGAGGCACACTGCATCATTGTGCGAATTGGTGTTTGTGGGCGGTGCAAAGTGGAGTAGAGCACATCAGAGTGCAGGATAGCAGAGCAGAGCAGAGCAAAGAGAGGCAGGCACATCCGCCGCTGCAGGGATCAAATCTGTACCATCTGACGCTCAAGGATTTATGGGTTTAGTCAAAATTGCTTTTCCCACTGTGGAGATTAAGCACCGTAGGATGTTTTCCACCAAGGCCGTAGAATAGTGTAGCTGCTGCTGCTGCTGTTGCTGTTGCTGTTTTTCTTCTCTCTTATCGGCTCCAGAGCTGCGGAGGGGAATGTCTCAGGACGGCAGAGTGCTCCAAACCCTTGAGGGGAGACGATTCTGACTGACAGGAGAGGTCCGTCCTCTGGGGAATGTGAACCATGCAGGTGGATACAGTACTTGTGCTTTTCTGCGTTTGGCTCGTCGGTGCAGCAGGGAAGATGGTCCAGCAGAGGGGTCACAAGCTGGAGACCTACAAACAGAGCAGGTAATGCCAAAAGAGTCATGAATGTAGCAAAGACAAACACTGGAATGCATGCTTTTATTTTTATACAAGGTGTATTGAGCTTTTAAAGCCTCCTTTTGCTTTGAATCTCATTTGTCTTTATTATCTTTTTAGACATGTTTTTTTTTTTATGTTTACATGGTGTTGTCCAGTGTTTCCTGAGTCACTTTCCTGCTCCCCCCCTCGCGAAAAAAAAATACTTTTTCAGATGTCAGATTGGAGAGAGAGAGAGAGAGAGAGAGAGAGAGAGAGAGAGGGAACACTAAATCCTCACATCTATTTATGTACTACTAGTGAAAGCTGTGTTCTCTTGCCCCACAACTGCTTCAGGCAAGTTAATGACCCACTGCCAGCAGTTGTAGTCAATGTCATTTTCAGGTGATTATTTAGGCTAATTGCTGCCTCGTCAATGTGTCCACTGGATTAAATGTTTTGAGGAGGACTGAACTAGATTCATACAGCATCTGTAACTATCCAAAATGTTGACTGAACTGACCGTGACTTTAGATATTGATTGAATAGAAAGGAGCGTATTTGCTGGTCTTGTTGTATACGTGTGTATACATTCATATGACATAACTTTAAGATAAACAAATAACTTAGCATCAGTATTTTGTAACTGATTGTTTATAATTACTTAAATTATAGTGGAACAAAATGAAGCATAAAGCAACACCTGAAGAAGAAAAATGGAGTCAGGTATTTAAGAAGCAGAAATATGTTGAAATAATGTCTCAGGGGCCTTATTTACCAAACTGTTAAGCACAGTTCAGGAATAAATGTAAAAGATATTTTTAAAATCAAACTTAGCTGCTGATTATTCTGTCAGTTTATAGAATCTGTGCCGATATATTTAGCTTAAAACTTACAGTTTAGTTTGAAACTCAAAGAATTTTCCATCCCAAGAGCAAGAAAACTAAAAAGTATTCTCTTTGAAGAGGCACGCCCAGTTATTTCTGCTATATTAGCTAAAAATGTGATTGTGATAATCAATAAAGTTGTAGATTTTATTTTTTCTTAATGTAATAATTGTTCCAGCTCTCACAAGAATACCAGTCGTTTATCCAAACTGTTATTTTGCGTATCATATGAAGTAAGTGAACATACTTATAAGTGCCTGACTGATATGGGAGTTTTGGATCTGAACAGATTTTTATGTCAGGGAGGAAAAAAATCAGACATATAATCAGATATATCGGCCGATATCTCTCTTAGATCTATCTTCGATTTGTAGAGATAGAGAAATATAGATTTACAATTTTATGTGTTGATCCCTCCAATGCATCAAACACTTGTGGAAAAGATATTTAATGAATCAAAGATAGTAACTCAACTAAAAGGTAACTGTGCATGTATGTGTATCACAGCTTGACACTCTGAAGAGTGATGATGCTTGTTGTAATGTGCTGGGTACAAAGAGAACTGCTAGTGTAATACAATGAAACTCAAAAGAAATGCTATTTGACTGGGGAATAATTCGATACCAATGGTCACTAAATATGCTTGTATCGGTCGATATTATCGGCTGGCAGGTTACTCGGTCAGGCTCTACTTGTAGAGGAAGAATAGTTATTTTTACATTAGAAATGCACATGTGATACAGCCAGGGCATATTTTAAAGCAACACTTCATGATATTTAAAAAGATGAATGTTTGAGCTCTGGAAAATAATCACAAACAACTCTGAAAGGCTTTTGAAACCTGTTGAGAATCAAATGGAGGTCAATGAGAAGAGAACACACACTGAGGCTGAAAATCATTTTAACTTTCATTATTGATCAATGTGAGGATTATTTTCTCACTTATTCTCCTTATTGTTTGCCTGATACATGCTCGTTACATGACGTGAATCGTGATATGATTTGACATGACATTTTTTTACAAAAAGCCAAAGAAATTTAACTGATCTTAACAAAAAGAAAGAAAAGTAGCAGACATTATTTATCAACTTTTTAGCTTGAGGAATATTTAATTTTTCTAAACAGTTTTTTTTTCTTTGGCTCGACTTTTTGATTAATTGTATAGACAGTGAATATTAACGGACGATGCCTGAGTGACGTCACCCAACTGGTCCTGCAGGGGGCTTTGGAGTCCCCATTCATGGCAGTCGTCATGCTGCAAATGCAGTCTCATAGAGCTGGGTATTGTCCACAACCTCACAATTCAATTCAAATTCAATTCTTTGGGTCATGAGTCGATATCGATTCGATATTGATCAATATCGATTTAATAATACATAAAGATGAATACCCAGATAACTCATTACCTTCTGATATTTGTTAAATAATTATGTGTGCATTGTTTGTATTGGCTTTGAATAAACTGACTCAAAAATTATTTGATCAACAAATGATAAAACATTAACGTACAGTATGATCTAAAGTGCACATCTGTGCCTGACCTGAGTTCACAGCACCCACAGTGCCCCCAGTGTAGAGGGGCGTAATTACAATGAAAAAAAACAATCTCAGGAGTTCCCTGAATTGATATTGAATTGGGAAAATAAAAATTGCAATGCACTGATGAATTGATATTTTTAACCAGCCCTACTGTCTCAAACTAACTTTCAGTTAACCTAACTTTAGGCAAAGATCTGGAGCTGAGGCGGCTTTTAAGCCTCTTTACAAAAACCATTACACTGCACCCACCTGTCCATCAGAGCAGCTGAAAATGATTCCCCTCGTACAGTGTGTGTCGATGGAAACATGAGCTAATCAGACTTATTGCGTTTTTTAAAACAGGCTGTAAGCTTGTTAGTTGCTGCTGTAATAGTAGGCTTTTTTGAATGGGTGTGTATGTGACATCAGGTGCTTCTGAAGCAACCCTCAAGTGGACACTTGACAAACTGCAGGATTTTGCACATCGACATCAACTTCATTTTTCAACACTGGAGGTTTCCCCTTGATTAACTGAAATATCTTTTCACCATTTTTGTACTAAGTCAACACCTTGAGGCGACTCGCAACACATTAGACAATCTTTCTAAAAGATTCCTGTAAATAAAAATGAGGACTGGACTCTTTTTCAGTCTTTTTGTGTCAGCAGACTCTTTTGTGAAAATATCTGCTGTGAGTACAAATACACCCTGAGGCACTCAAGTCACAAACTGTCTTTGCATTCATCACTGGTGAAGACGATAAGACTTTTCCAAGCAGGAAAAGTATAGAATATGTTTTCCACGCAATGCTGTCAGTGCTGAATGATTTGCATCCACTTAATATATTCAACAAACCATGTCAAATCATAATCCCTCTGCCTTTAGACACACTATCACCATCCATGTAATAACTGTTGTTTTTTTATAGATCGGACGTCAAACAGCGATCTGGTCACTCTTAAAATTCTGATCCATCTTAGTGAAATAAATGTGTTCGACATTACATGATGGATTGTTATCATATATACCGAACAATCAGACTGCAGCGATCTTATTGATGGAGCATTTGTGCTCAATCTAAACAATCTTCTGTGAAATTGCACTCATTTAAACTGATCCTTTTCAGCCCTGAGGTCATAAAGATGATCATTATGTATAAGAGGAGCGCAACCATAATCATCTGTGGAAAATCTTCAAAAGAAAGAGCGCACTAGTGGCTCACAGCTGCTCTGTAATCTCTCAACACCAGCATCCCCTTGTTATCAAATGTGAGCTTCACTGTTCTTTTACCCTAACTAGTTAAAAGTCTGCTCACACATTCCTCTCTCTGCTGACACACACAGCCTAAGAATACAAATCAAGTGTAAATCTCTCATTCCTCTTTTTTAAGGGGGTGAAAGGGGGGGGGGGTGGGTTCTCAGTATACTTATGCAGGAGTCAAACTCCTCTTCTCCCTGGTTCTCATCACTCCGCTCCTCCTCTCTTGAGTGTGAAATTGCAAAAGCGTCTGGAGGCTGCTGGTGTGGGTTGTGAGAGTTTTTTTCACCAGCCTACATTACTCCGATTTTTTCTTCCACTCGCAGCCTTGAGGAGGATGAGCGGGAAAAGGGGGATTTGTGTAGGACATCACAGTCCCACACAAGAACCCATCTGAGGGGAAAATCCTCAGATGTTTTGTGGTTCGAGGGATCGTTTTTCTGTTCTCGCTTGATGATTTTTGGGTTAGAAAAACAACACTTAAATTATATGAAAAGAATAATCTTGCTTGTTTTTCCGAGGTTCCAAGGTTTTTTTTTTAATGCTTATACATACACCTAAAAATCTGGACTAACTTCAGATTTTTCAGCCTTCAGACTCATACTGTATGAGTGATACTCATCTAAGATTAAATCAGCCCATATATTCATCACTGGTACATTCTGCTGCTCAAAGGCAAATCGCATTAGCCAGTTGGCTAGCAACATTTTAAGTCAGTAAACTAGAATCTGTCCTGTAAGTTTTACCATTATGTTTCTCAGCCAATCATTGAAAAATTCTGCCACGTCCTGACATATTTACCAGAGCACATTCGCACCATCGTTTTTCAGCCCCTTTTAGCAGCTTTAGTAATTGTGATGGAAGCAAGGGAGGAGGTCATGTGACAGTACAAGAACAAAAGAAGACTGCTGAATAGGGAGGAGGTCAAACATACACAATACTTTTACCGAGGATACCAACACTAACTTATGGTTCATACATCCATTAAGTCACATAGATAGTGTCACTAAAGTGATGTAACTAAAGCCCCTGCCTCACATGTATTCCTATTATCCTGTGGCTAAGTCCGGATATTTAGGTACTGACATTATTCAGAATAAAATTCCACCCATGTCTCACAATGTAAGACTATCTCTGTCACACGCACCCTCTTTACTCCAAATAGTAGGTGCCTGGACCTAACCTGCTATTTCCCTTATTTTATTGAATTATAAATAAAAAAGGACAACGTTTTTACACAGTTGGTTAAAACTGACAATCATTTTATTCTGTCTTGTTAGTATCGTGACATGTTATGTTTTGGGGCTTTTTCTAAAAATATTTTTAAAAAGCTACACTGATGTTTTTCTTAATACTATAATTATTTGTGTTTGTTTTTTCAAATGAGCTATGAGATGTGTTGTATTGAAATTGTTGTTAGTAGAGTCCCCTCTTGAGATGTAACTGGAACATGTCTTATAAACAGTGTGTGTTGCTGATCTTTCCCAGAGACAATACGACTCCCACACAACACAACATTTTCTTTCATGTTCGACCTTGAAAACAATTCAGAGTTTGCACAACAGGTGACTTCTCCTCTCCAGTTGAAACCTCTTCTCTGAATCAGCAGTCAGTTAAATTGATGCAACATAATATCGGCCTCTGACATTTGTGTATGTCGCACTATATGCTGATGGGCCGATGTCTATCAACAGGCCGATACTGATGTTAAACCAGAGCATGGAACCAAAACGTCATTTAAACATGAAGGGAACTGTGAATAAATGAATAATTACTTGTGTTCTGTTCAGATGAGTCATTTATAAGGCTCTCACACTTGCAGAAATCTTCTGAAAAACTCAGGTTATTTCCCACAGAAGCTGTATATGTGAACCCAAATTTTTAACTCGGACTTCACCCAGAGTTTCTCCTACCGGACCCATAGTATTTTTTCCATAGCAAGTCCAAGTGGGCAGATGTGAGAACGCCACAGGATATTCTCCGGAGAATTTACCTCGAGCCAATAGGACGGGGGAATATGACGTTTCTATACTGTTACTGCTGCACGGTGCACAGACTGTCTAGATAATTTCCGCAGTGCATATGGGAAAACCGTCCTATTAACTAAATTCACTCCAGAAGGCTTCAAAGTCAACTTTGGCAAATACTGAATTCAAACTTTGGAGTGCAAGTGATATTTATATGACTTATTAAATGGTATTTCTTCTAGAGTCTTACTACATATGTATGGTGATTGAAAAGGGTGGTGTATAAATTCCTCTTTTTGTTGCTCTTGAGTTTAAGCCAAGTTCCTGATTGTTTCCAAAGGTCTATACATCAGTGTTTTAAGTTTCAAGATAAGTCCATAAATTCATGAAAAGAAGACTTACATCCTGTTGATCTGTTTTATAATACAGCCTGTGAACTTTAAACCATTTTACTATAGTCATTGCTCTTCGCCTTTGCAAGCATAATGTGTACAGAATGGTCTTAGTGTGCAGGAATATGTGCCTTAACCCCTGACCCCAACCTCTGCAGAATTGCATGCATGCAGGTCCATGGCTGCAGAGCAGAGGCGGCATCCGGCCTTACCGATCAGAGCAGTGTGCAGACAGTCGTCAGTCTTCTGTGTGCTGTAGGCAGTCATAGAAGGGGATTGGAAAGGCCTTTCTGCCAAGAGGATTAGGAACCAGCTGCTGGATGGGTGCAGACGAGTAGCACACTTTGAACCCTGCAGAACACTGTAGCGAGCATCAAGACCCATCTCCGACTGTTTCATTTTGCTATTGTCATGTTTTTTTTATCTTTTTTTGTTGTTGTCCCTTCACCTCTCCCCTCCCACTTGCTCTTCTTCTGTGGTGTTTTCTTAATGCATGTCTGTGGTTGTCACAGGGATTTGGCCCTGTGTGTCACAACATGCTCTACTCTAATAATCCATTTTAGGGCTATTGGAATTCTTTTTTTTTCTCTCTCTCCGACACTCTGTGCTTTGGCCTGAAAATTCAGCCTTATTATAGTACAGCCCTCATGAAATGTGAGTAAAATGTAGAGCTGGCTTTGTCTTAAGAGGCTGTGATGAGGAAAGGCTCTTTTACCCTTTGTGTTATTTGAAGATCAAATGTGTGTGATGTAACAGGATGTGCTACATCTACTAAGAAAGTGAGCAAAACAAAACACAAATTATTGTTCCTACTCTTAACACGTCCTTTTGTAGTTCAATAATCTGCAGATTGTCACTCAATTCATCTTTTATTCTATTAAATATCCCAAAAACAGAAACAAATGTGAAAATAGTGAAGAATGCTGATAGCATGAATCTGTGACAAGAAAGGCATCAAGTCTGCTCTTAGGAGAAGCTGGAACCAGCCAATGATTTGCATTGTTTCTTGATAAAATAACTTAAAATCTTGATTATCAGTGTAATTGCTGGGTAATTTTCTGTTGTTTCCTAAATTATGACTTTAATTATTGTTTGAACTCTAAACAGAATAGATCATATCAAACATTTTGGGCTGCAACTAACAATTATTCTCATGAAAAATGAATCTTTTAAGCAGTTTGATTCTTGACTTGTTGAGCATTAATTCCCTAATAAAATGTCCAAATTTTTTCAGTCAAACTGACATCTTCAAATGTCCTGTGCTGGTGGCGCAATGGTTAGGGCGTGCATCCCATGTGTTGAGGCTCTCATCTCAAGCGGTAGGCCCGGGTTCACTTCCACCCATGGCCTCCCTCCGCATGTCATTCCCCGCTCTCTCCCTGGTTTCCGACTCTATCCACTGTCCTATCTCTGCATTAAAGGCACAAAAAGCACAAAAATAAATCTTTGAAAAAAAAAAAAAAAAAAGTCCTGTTCTGTCAGATGAACACCCGCATTACCAAAAAGAAATTCAGTTTTGAGTCACACACGACAAAGAGTAGAATAAAATCCTCTCCTCTGAGGAGCTGAAACCAGTAAATGTTTAGCTTTTTATTCTTGTAAAAAGATGATTGGATAATCAAAGTGATTGCAGAATAGTTTTCTTTGGATCCACTAATGAAGCTAAGTCCGACTTGTTGCAGCTCTGCAGATGAAAATAAAAGAACTTGTATTAAAAAGGACCACAATTTAAGGTAAAACAGTACACAACAATCTAATTGCCTCCATCTTAATAATAGGTGCAAAGTCTTTTCCCTTATGTAACGGATGCTCTTTGGTTTATTTATTTATCATACTTGTTTACAGGTTGCGAAGAGAAACCAACATGGATGGAGGTGGAGGTCAGAAACCTGGAGGGTAAGTTGTATTCATCTTTGGTTAGTTATCATTATTTTGCTAATGAATTTAAAAATCAAGAACATCACAGGATTTTTTTTTTTCTCTTGCAGTCCAATTTACAAACGTAGTCCAGACATGACAAAATCTCCAATGACAAAGTCTGAGCAACTCCTGAGAATAGACGACCATGATTTTACCATGAGGCCAGCATT